ACATAACCTGACTCTCAGATTCCTTTTCTGTGAAGTGGGAATCTTCCTCACGGGGTTGTTGTGATTGCTTTTGGTTGCATTATTTAACTAAATAAAAGAATACAAGGCAAATGCTTCGCACAGAGTAGGCACTCAATAAGTAGCTATTATTGTTATACACACTTATTTTGTATATTTGTAATATCTGTAGTTTCTTCAATTACTTAAAACATCATCACCATAGCATTCATTCTTTCCCATCTCACCTCTTGTTTAGAGCATAATGAACAAAGGGCACAACATTTTCCATACAAGATTGTTCCAAATACCTAGCTGGGTATATTATTGTTAAGTACACATACGTACACACACACACACACACACACACACACACACACACTCTTTCTCTCTCTAATTTGGAATGCTATTGACCTCATCTGGAAATCTCAGAGTCCTTTTCCTTTATTAATGCTTCTTCCCTTTCATTTCTGCTGTCTAGTTAGGTTCCACATGGTGTGTATGCTCTCATCCCTTACACTCTGTCCTGTGGCCACCACCTTAGTGGATGCACTCATTGCTTCAGGCATGAGCTACAAAGCTCTTTTCTTCATTTTCTTCCTCCTCCAGTTTAACTATACACTACCACTGATTTCATTATGTTGTTTCTCTATTTCAGAAATTCCAATAGCTTCCCACTAACCACAGGGGAAAAAAAAAAAAACTGTCTATGCTTCTCTGCCTAGTGATCTGGCTCCAGCCCCCATGCAATCTTTCTTACCTCCCACAAGTTCCCAGCATGCTTCCACTGGGCTCACTTTATTACTCACTAATTTTTCCTTTTAAGCCTTGCTCATGTTGTTTTCGTCACTGGATTACTTTGCCCACTTTCTTCTGCCTATCCAAATCCTATCATTTTTCAATGGCCAGCCAGCTTAAATAATTACCTTTACTTCAAGGCCTTTCTTCATAGTTCTGCATACAGTGATCGCCTTTCTCTAATCTCCAATAGTACAAATTGTTTCTATGGCTCATTGTGGCTTTTACATATTGCTTTGCTTTTCATGTGTTAACCCTGCATACCCCGAGGCAGAGACCACTTTTTAAAACCTTGTCTTTTTGCATTTTCTGTAGCACCTAGTACAAAACTAAACATAAAAGATGTCCAATAACTGGCAGTTACATTTTGTCCCAGGGACTCCATCAACCCCATTTATACACACCTGATAAGCAAACTTCTCATTCTTGTTACTAAACTCCATCAAATCCTCTCCACACACATTATGCTCACCCTCAAGCTCTTCCTCTTGTCTTCTATGACAGGCTAACATCCCTTTAAAATTCTCAACTAATTTCCTCCCATTTCTCTTCACCACCCTGACCTAAGTCAAATCTAGCTCTTTCTTGAACCCACTGTACTGGTACCCTATCCAGAGGGTTCTACCCCATGTAGAACCTCTCTCTTCTGTTCACCTGATTAGGCGCAGAAGTAAAAAGTCAAATTTGTCCTCACTGACACCGTTATTTCTGCCCCACCTCTGAGCATTTTCTTCTTTCTCATTCACCACTTTTTTAAACATCTGCAATACATCAATAACTAATTTATAATATTCCACTCCAATCCATCAACCTCAGTAAATTTAATATTCATATTATCAGCCCTTCATATTCATACACTACTTCAAATTCTTTATTTTGCTTGGCTCCATGGACTTGCATCACCTCTCCACAGCAGCAAGGCCAAGACCCAAACACTGAAAGTCTCTGAGGGCTCTATCTTGAGCCTCTTGTGCATCACCAACTGGAACCACTTTCACTGCCATTTCTTTCAATTCCCCACCATGCCTGATTTCTGCTGTCTCTCGTTCACTTAATCCATACCTGTCACAAGTTCATTTCAAATGCTGCTCCACAAACTAAGTAGATTTGGGAGATGGTAATTTAAAAATACAGATTCCTACACCTCGCCCATGGAGCTTTTAATTCGGTATATAGAGTGTCAAGTTTCAATCTTGGTATACCCAGGGAATTAAATTAAAAAAAAGATGCCTGAGCAACATCACCAGAAATTCTGATTTAACAAGCCTGCATTTGGGTCTGGATAATGATGGCTTTAAAAGTTCCTCAGTTAATTCTACTGTGCATCTAAGGTTGAAAACCGGTGCTCTAGGGTGAGATGTAGGAATGAGGACTTTAACATGCTACCAAGGTAACTCTGCGGTCAGTCAGGCTTGAAACCACTGTGTTAGGCACCTCCTCACTAGCTGGAATGGACTTCCTTCATGCTTAGATGGTCTTAGGATAAAACACTTTAGGGCTGTCCTTTCCAGCATTCTTTCTCCCACCCCGTACCTGTCTGTAAACATACACGATACAGCCTAACTCTTCAACTTTAATTAGGGTCATTGTAAACTGACCTTCTATTTATTTATAATATTTATATTATTTTATTCATATATATTCATTTACAAATGTGACACAATAGTTTTCTGAAAAAGCCACTATTGTAGGGTCACAAATTGAGTCACAGACACAAACTAGACAGGTAGAACCATCAGGCTGGGGCAAAAAGGAAGAACTGGAATGTCTCAAAGAAAAAGTTATTGATGACAATTAGGTTCATAAGCAAACCTCTAGGAGCTCTGTTTAATCTACAGGAGGCTGAAAAACAACTCAAGAGGCCATAAGCTGTATTTCCCTGCCCACCTACCTCACACACCAAGATCTCCTTCCCCTCCCCACACATACCACGGCCTTCCTAGCCGCTGTGAAAGTCAATCACCACCCCAGTTCTCCTGGATTTCTTATCCTTTGGATGGACTAAGGACCAAGCATAGATTTTCTACATTTAAGCTTTTCACTGCTATAGCTCTGAATTCTAGCTTTGAAGTCTCTCTTTGACAAACACACACACACACACATTCTGCCACAGATCCTGTCATAAATTCTGTTAAAAAAAACCTGTCATAAAAAATCAATGGTACTGACTCTGAAAGACTTTAGAGGCACAAGCAAGGCTGAGGCAGGAGAATGGCTTGAACACAAGAGGCGGAGATTGCAGTGAGCCGAGATCGCGCCACTGCACTCCAGCCTGACGACAGAGCAAGACTCCGTCTCAAAAAAACAAAACAAAACAAAAAAAAAACCCTCAAGTTTTTTCATATTTATCCTTATCCTCTTCTATTCCAACTTATATCTTTTCAAAGTTTAATTCAAGATTTTTTTTCTTGAATATATTCTTCTCTTTGTCTAGTAGTACAAGTCCATAATCCTCTATTTACAATTTCAAAGTCCTATAAATTCTTGAAACTGAAATGTTTTTGCAACTCATTTGGTGCCAAAAACATGCACCTGATCTGAACTGACATGACGCTACTTTTTTCCCTTTAGCATGAACACATACATTTCACTGCAGTTATTAATATGCTTGATCAGAGAGAACTGGCTAGGACCTTACTGTGGGTATTAAATAATATATGATATATGTACCTAATTACCTTTCTAAAATCTGAAAAACTTGAAATCCCAAAGCAGACTGTAGACTTGTATCGACACTTGCAAATTTTTATTCCAAAACGGCAATTTTTCAGTTACACTGAGATAAATAGGTTTTTGGGAGAGCGTTTGCTTGAGGACCTAAACCCACTCATTTAACTGTTTCTATAAGTACATACATTTACTGTTTTAAACAACCAACATATAAAGGAACTGCTGTAATTCTGTGAGTTGAAGACTTCCTATACAAAATCTGAAAACCTAGGGTACCAGCAGCAGGAACCAGATCTCCAAGCTGCTGGGTGACAAATTTCTTCAAAGCATTTCCCAGGGTAATCCCTAATCCCAGCTCCAATCTACCAATCAATTGTAACTACGCTTTTAAATGTGTATCATTACTGTTCACAATTTGCTGCATCGATTTAAAGAGCTTGTTTTAACAATTTCCAGTTATCAGGGCCCTCAGACATTTTTGAAAAACCTACCAAATCCAAAAATTATTCCTAACACCAATACAGTACTTAACGAAGAGTGAGCTATTTTAGTAAGTTCTTAGTCATTTAAGAGGGAGGTTTTAAGAAATGAATTGCAAGTAGGAAAAAATAAAATGTATAATGTTCACTAAACTTTTACTATTTTGTCACACACAGCTGCTTGACAAGCCATGATCTTTAAATATATCAAAGTAAACTTTCAAAAAGTACTTAAATATTATGTCAAAATAAAAAATTACAAAAGCCGAGTTTTTTTTTTTTCTTTAATTGTGCTTCGAATTAACCAGTCACAACCACCAGTAAAAATAGGGAAAGAGGGGGAGGGGGCTGTCCCATGACATCATCTGGCAATATGTAGTTTGAAGCCTGAGAGCGCTCTCCAAATAACCCTTACGAAGATACAGCTGGGAAATCATCCCTGTTAAGCTTAGATAACTTGGGTTTAAATAAAAGGTTCAAAAAGCCTCCCCCTACCTGAGTCACATGTCTGTACCATATGAAAAATAAAACCATTACTGATGCATCTACCTCCCACTACCCTGACAGCAACGGAAAGGTCACAATTAAGTGGAAACTCGCCGCACAGCCTGTTTAATCTGAAGGGGGAAGGGAAAGAAACGCGAAGAAAAGGACAAAAATCTGCGCGCCTCCAGGGCAGGCAGGCACCTCCGTGGAAAACCCACTCCCGCCTGCTGACACCTATGCTCATCCAACAGATCGTGCCGACTCAAGATGCAGGTAATTCTCTTAGATAAAGTGGGGGGCCCAAGCCCCAGAAAATAACGCAAACATCCAGCGGAACCGACCACCCCCAACATTTCCCGAGGGTGGAAGATGTAGCTCGCGAAGTGTTCTGGGCTGCCCACGAGGCACAACTCTTTCATTTCTGCCCGAGGAAGGGCGGCCTGGGTGCCTCTCCCTGGAGTGCCAGGGGGTGCCCATGGGAGACGGGGGCCTCCTGGCGGCCCTCGCCCGTCCGCAGTCCCTCCCGACTCCCGCCGTCGGGGCGCCAGGCGGCCCCGGCCCACCACCTACCGCGGTCGCGCCGGCGCCAGCCGATACGATGGGCGGCAGCTTCTCGCGCTCCGGCTCCTTCCCTTTCCTCTCCTCAGGCGCGGCCGCCGCCACCACCAGCGGCTGTCTCTTATACACATCTAGATGTGTATAAGAGACAGGGGCTCGCGCGTCGCGGGTCAGGAGCGCCGACGGTAGCCGCCCTTGTCAACCCCGAGGGCCCGGAGAGAAGGCGCCGCGGTCGACGCCCGGCCGCCATATTGTTTGCAGTGTCGCTCGAGATGACGAGGAGAAGACCCCGCACCGGGACCGCGCAGGAGAACCTGGACTAGGGGCGGATGGTGGGGGAGACAAGTCGAGCCCTGCAAAGGGTCGGACGGGGATAGTCCGAGTGGTACCAGTAGGGCAGGACGTAGGCACAGACTACCCTTCACGGACGGCCCTGGCCTGCGGCGCCTAGTCCCGCGGGCGAGCGCCCTCGGGGTCTGGGCTGGTGGTCTTTTGCCTTCTTCTTCCAGGCGCCCACTAAGCTGTCCGCCTTTGGGCCTCTGCCTTCTTATCCTTGCCCGCCTTCCTGAGCCCAGGAGAGGCGACCCCGAGCTCGCGCAGCCCGGGAGACAGCCTTTTCTGGCTCAGCAACCGACCCTTTTGTGTACGCTTGGATGGCCTCAACCTACACAGGAAAAGCCTGGAGGTGGGGAGGAGTGCGACGTGGTGGGCCCCCCCTTTCCCCTTCCCCCATAGGATTGGACGGCCAGTCCACACTTTCCATTCCTGTTCCTCTCGTCCCTCTTTGACTGCCAAATCCGCCTCTCCCTTCCCGTCCCCAAGCGCCTACGTTTTGCTCTCTCCCCGCAACCCTTTGCTGTCTCCTATCCATTCCTTCCTTGTTCCTTTCCGTTTATGTTAGCGATGTACATACCCAAACTCTGCTGCACAGTCCTCAATCAAATCATTACAAAATAGGAGTAAAAACTGGAAAGCTGAAGAAGAGAGCTTTTAATTATGAAATTAAAATACCCCCCACCTCCACCACCAGGACACCTAGACAATTTCCTTTCTTTTCTTGTCGCCCCCTCCTTTTCCTCAGTCTATTGGAGTGGTGGAGACACCTGCTGATCTAGGAGAAAGGAGAGAGTAAGAATGCACTGTATCGCCTATTAAAAGCAAGGGATTTCGATCCTCAGGTCTATCAGGTTTTTTGCCGGTGCCTTCGTTATTTTATTCGAGGTTGAGTGAATTTTTAGATCAAGAGTACCTAGGTCCAAATACAAGAACCAAAAATATCTCTGAAACAAACCCAAATATGATTTGGGGATATCTATTGTTTACATAATTGGGAGTTATTAGTGTAACTAAATACTAGTTATGGTACTTCATAAGATGAGGTTGCATGTTTTCAAACCCACCATTTATAACAAGTAGATCTGAAGCAAACAATGTTGCCTTCTAAATTATGAATTCTGACTTTCATTTATAGCAAGGCTTTCTACTTTAATATAGTTACTGTTGCCACCTGTTTACTTGTGAATTAACAAAAGGTATAGAATAAGTGCCGTATAGTCAGCAAAAAATATTTCAATGCAGGGAAAATGATGCATCCAGGCATTACTTTGAAGCATCCTCCTCCTTTCTATTAATATTTTTCTTAAATTCTTTTTCAGGATTTTCTTTCCTTCTTAAACTACTGAAATACTCATCCCATAGAGAAGAACATACCATTATTCTCTGCTTTTAGCAGGTCTGTATACTGATCATGGATACAGCAACAATTCAAATGTTATTTTATAAAAGGAAGCCTCTATTTTAACTGCAATTCCAGATATTCTGTGCTGCTAAGTCTAGGTTGATAGAACAAATACTAGAGGGAAAAGTATCTTCTTTCCTATTGTTTTCAACTAGATTTAGTAATTTGCTATAAAAATGCTTGGATGAGAAACCACTTGGATAACAGGCCTTCTGCTTTCTTTTTTCATGTGTGAGACTAAATAAAAGTGTCTGTACATGTAGTCACATTCAATAGAACAAAATGCTTAAATATTGGCGAAACAAGGCAAGTCAGAAATGTTAATTTCTGCTACTACACCAGAGTAGATAATAACCCATTTCTTAACAAATTCTCTGATTAATTCACTTGTGCGTTCCAGATGAAAAATGATGATTTGTTTATATTTCCTTTTACTTCTTGTTAAATAAATGACCTCAATCCACCACCTCATCTCTCCCTCATACATAGTCCAGGAGGGGGCTGGAGGGTGGGAATGGGGCCTGCTGGAAAGCTGTAGAATTATAGCTCTGGGGGAACTTGTGGTGTCCTTGAGAGACACATTCCCAGCTGCCATCAAGGTGCTTCTGGAGATCCAGGTGGGAGAAGACAGTGTTGTAAGGCAGGACATACAGAGAGCTCTGGCCATTCTGTACAGAGGTGTGGAGAAGATGCTTTTTAGCTATTCCTAGTGTCAGAAGTGCAACAGTGAGGGTATCCAAGTATAAACTCATTTGCTTTGGAAAAACTAGGAGTGAGACAGAAGAAGCATTTCATGTTTCTAGGTCTAGATGGAAAACCTGAGCTTGTTAATTATATCTATGGGGAATAGGGTTTTGCAGGGTGGGAGTGAGGGTTAGAGAACTCATTATTTCCCTGGAAGAAAAAGAAAGACAAAATTACAAGGTAATGGAAGGTCGAAATTATAGACAACTTCTATTTTAATTATGTATGGTAATACTAATGTAGTGAACAATAGCAAAATAGGTACACAGATCACTTAAGAATGGTTTATACCACTAATACCTTAATTTTAGAAGGTATAGTTATGAAATAGTGCAACTTATTTTAATATTTCAACTGAGTGTTGTCCTAAAGTAAACTTGGGGAAATTATTTTAGCCATGTTGACCTTGTTAAAAAGATTTTTAGAACTCTTTCTTAGGTATAATGGTTGTGGATTTTTAAAATTACTATTTAAAAAATAATTTGGCTGGGTGCGTGGCTCATGCCTGTAATCCTAAAACTTTGGGAGGCCAAGGCAGGTAGCTCACTTGAGGTCAGGAGTTTGAACCCAGCCTGACCAACATGGTGAAATCCTGTCCCTACTAAAAATATATATTAAAAAAATTTAGCCAGGCATGGTGGTGGGCACCTGTAATCCCAGCTACTTGGGAGGCTGAAGTGGGAGAATCGCTTCGGGAGGCGGAGGTTGCAGTGAGCTGAAATTGCACCACTGCACTTGAGCCTGGGTGACAGAGTGAGACTCCATCTCAAAACAAAACAAAAAAACCTTTTCTTTATTAAAAAAAAAAAGATGCTTTGTCATTACAGAAAAACAGAAAATACAGATTAGCAGAATCATTTAAACTATAGATACTAAGACCTTGCTCTGTATCTTTAAAAAATCTCTTGTATCTGTCTACACACACCCCCCCCCCCCCCCCACCCCACAGTGTTTCTTCCTTTGTTTTTATAAAAGTTGAACATACTGAAACACTGTTTGGAGTCTTTGCAACTAATTCTTTAGAATAACCCCAGTGATGTGATAAATCTTTAGAGGATGATTTTTTTTAAATTGTACAATGCTATACAGAGCCAAGACTGAAGAATAAAGTAGATGATGATCAAGCTTTGTATTTTTAATCAGACTTCTCTTGAATCTGTTCTCTGCCTAGATTCCCATTGCCATTGACCTAATTAAGGCCCTTAACATCTCTAACCCCAATTATTTCTGTAGCCTGGCAACTGGTCTTGCCTTCAGTTTCTTACCTGCTCTAATGGCCACCAGAATGACCTCTTCAGAATATATAGTTTCTAGCCAGCCCTTTGTTTTAAAATATCGTAGTAGTCTTTCAAAGCCTTTATGCTAAAAATTTTCCCCCAGTGTGGCATTCTGCTGAATTCTTTGCAAAAGAAGGCATTTTTCTTAATGTCCTAAATAGAATCATTCCTTTCTTTCTGCTCCCAGAGCATGTTGTACATACTTACCTTTATAGACCTATTACATTACATCTTAGTTTTTTGTTCCCCAAATAAGTCATGGCACAGAGGAGAAAGACTGTGTCTGATTAGTCCTTGAGTCCCTACATGTAGCACACTACCTGGAGTGTGCTATTGAGGAGGCACTTAGCAAACCCAGAAGAAACGAAACGATGTTTTCTTGAAGTGGTTTGTACAGGGGCTCTGAAATCTTTTCCAAAGATAAATTATAAAAATGCTCTGAGTGATGAACTATACTCATTCAGATGATTTGGTCTTGATATTGCTTCTTTAAAATCTTAATCTTCTAGAGCAGTGCTATCAGTAGAACTTCGCATACTAGGGGAAATGGTCTGTATCTGCACTGTCCAGTGTGGTAGCCAATAGCGTCATGTAGTTATTGGGCACTTGAAATGTATCTATTGCCAGAGGAATTGAATTTTTAATTTTAGTTCATGTTATGTAAGTTGTGTTTGAACAGCCACATGTGACTAGTGGCCACCATAGTGGACAGTACATTTTAGAGCTGCATCTCAGCTGTAAAACAGCAAGTCCAAATTAGTGGCACAGTAATTAATGAGCCTCACTGTATCTTAACCTCATTCTTCAGAATTTATGCAAGCAAATGTTCACCAAAGTAATGAGGGCAGGCTTAAAAGAGCTTTAATAAACGCCTAAAAGCCTAAGTAACTTCTTCCTTTTTTATTGTTTCTTTTTAAATACTGTATTCACAGGAGTTTGCATGTGTTGGTGAAACCACATTTAGCTATATCTTGATTTGACCAAGTCCTATAGAGGAGTGACCTAAACTAGAAGAAACTGTTAGTAACAGTAAAAATTGAGGTGGCCGTATGTGTTTTCAAGTTGGTTTGGATGTCCTGTTTAGATATTTTCAAAAGAAATGCTAATTAAAGAGTTCTAATTAGTTCTAATGCTAATTAAAGAGTTGTGCTTGATAAACTAGTTCTATAGAACTGCCACATGTGAAATTCTAATAGTCTGACCTGGATATATTGATAACTCTTCTAAATCTTAACCTCAATTTTACATTTGTTTTCTACCAAAACCAAGAAAAACAACAACAACAAAAACATTAAATTGTACATCAGAAGTATCCTATGCATGAAGTACCTATTTAAATTTTTATTGAGTCTAAGTTAACTTATGTATTCTAAGGCTGCTGAAGTCATCAAAACAAGTCAGAATGGCATATATTGCTATTCATTTTTACCTTTTG